CAATATACAAAAACACAAAGGACATAGGAGAATAGTAGTAAATCCACGAAAGAGTATTATCATTATTCAGTCTTGCGGGAATAAACGAACCATCCAGTTGTTTGATCATCAAAGTAATATCCGAAATGGTCCAACTATCACGAAATCCACCATTTTCGTAAATCATATCTACCAATTGTTCATATGATATCATTCCACTAATAACAAATGAACAATCCGGACTAGCCAAATAATTCGAAAAATTTCCTAACTCACTCTTAGGAATTTTCCAGTACACATTAACAATGTAGGGACCGATAGACGCCATTTATAACCTGTTGCACAAAAAAAATTATATTTTACAAATTACAACAAAATAATGTCTAAAATTTAAAACACATTTTATTACTCCAACCAAAAATAAATAAATAAATATTACCAATCATATAATCCTCCAAAACCTAATACGTTATCGAACAATAATATCAAATTTATCTATAATTCGGATAAATTGAAAGCCCTAATTTCCAAAAACCCTAACCCCAACAACAACCAAACAATACAAAATTGATAATTTACACACAAAATTCCAATCTCGAATTTAACATACATACATAATCGATAATCAATTAGTAATTTACAATCTTCAAACACTAACACATTCAAACATATTATAACAATTCTCAATCTCCAAACAACTCCAAACATTGTATAAAATTAAGATAAGCCAATATACCTCGTGCGAATGAATTAACCGGAAAGGTGTCTCGTGTCGTTGTTGTCGGTTCACGCCGGGGTGAGAATTGGATCGAATTTTTTTTTTCTGATTGTTTTCGCTTCTATTTCTTTTGTTTTGCTCGCTGCTCTCTCCTTCCTCTCTGTTGCGCAAATGAAATGGAAGAATTTTTTTATATTTATTTCAAAAAACGTATTCCGAGAATACGTTTACCGACAGTTTAAAAACGTATTTATTTAAAAATAGAATAATACAAATCGTATTTTTAAAAACGTTTTTCGGTTCTTAAAAACGTATTTCCACAATACGTTTTTCTTAAAACGTATTTCAATAATACGTTTTATATTTTTTATTTTTTTTATTTTTGATTATTAAAGGAATTTTGTGTTTATTTTTTTATTTAGAAAAAAAATAAGAACGTATTCGCGGAATACGTTTTTTCTAATTAATTTTAATTAAAAAAACGTATTCCGAGAATACGTGTGTTTGATTTTTGCTGTTGGGAGCTTTGCACTTTTATTCGCACATTTGTGCGCTTTTGATTTATAATCATGCATCTATCGTTTCGAAAAAAAAAATAAAAAAAAAACTACATCGAAAAAAAAAAAATTACTCTCCAAATGACTGTAAATATTCTTTTGCTGATTTTGCTGTTGACCGCCGTCGCCTCCGTTTACGGCATTATCCCGCCGGTGTTTTTCGACGTGACCAAATACGGGGCGGCTGCTAACGGGAGAACGGACGACAGCTTGGTACGTGTGATTGACTGTGAATTTAGATGATTGGTTACTTTTCCCTTTTTTTATCATTTTCAATTAGCTTTTATTTTTTGCAGGCATTTTTGAGCGCTTGGAGAGACGCGTGCGCGCACCGTGGAAAGAGCGCCGT